TAGATATAGATATAGATATAGATATAGATATAGATATAGATATAGATATAGATATAGATATAGATATACCCTGTTTCTCCAACAATACGGCCTCCCCCAATAGGAAGTCCCAGCATGTTTTATAGGCATGAAATGAAATTAAGCCCTTCCCCCCAAATTAAGGCCTATATTAAAACATGCGAAAAGGGAGGAATAGTGGGGGGGCTTGCCATTAGGAAGTACTTTTGTTGCACACCCGGATATGGTGCTGCCTGCGTTGATCCCGATACGAAGTGCCCAACCAATGCCGAGGTCAACATCCAAGCTGTCGCTGCCCACCTGAAGATGCAAGTGGGGGGAATTAAGTCACCCCCCAAAGAGATGGCCTAGCCATTTTTTCGGGGCTCAAAAAAAAATAAAACCCAGCCTTATTATATGAGAAACACGGTAGATATAGATATAGATATAGATATGCCGTGTTTCTCATATAATAAGGCCGGGTCTTTTTTTTTTTTGAGCCCTGAAAAAATGGCTAGGCTGTCTTTTCGGGGGTGACTTAATTCCCCCCCCCTTGCATCTTTGGGCAGGTGGGCAGCGACAGCTTGGATGTTGACCTCGGCGTTGGTGGGGCACTTCGTATTGGGGTCAACGCAGGCAGCACCATATCTGGGTGTGCAACAAAAGTACTTCCTAATGGCAACCCCCCCCCCACCATCCCCCCCACCATTTCGCATGTTTTAATATAGGCCTTAATTTGGGGGGAGGGGCTTAATTTCATTTCATGCCTATAAAACATGCTGGGACTTCCTATTGGGGGAGGCCGTATTGTTGGAGAAACAAGGTAGATATAGATTAGATATAGATATAGATTAGATATAGATATAGATATAGATATAGATATAGATATAGATATAGATATAGATATAGATATAGATATAGATATAGATATAGATATGGAAGGAAGAAAGGAAAGAAGGAAGGAAGCAATATGTGGATGGATGGATAGACCGGTAGGTAGGTAGATAGAGATGAGATAGACAGATTAGATAGATAGAGATAGAGATGAGATAGATAGACAGGTTAGATAGACATAGAGATGAGATAGATAGATAATGATGAGATAGATGATAGATTAGATAGATTAGAAAGAAAGAAAGAAAGAAAGAAAGAAAGAAAGAAAGAAAGAAAGA